AGGATTCCAGCGAGGGGTTGCCTGCGAGCATCACCTGGCCAGGCTACAAGCCCACACAATCCACCAGATGAACCAGAATAGAGCTACGGCGCTGATCTCACTGGACTGCAGTCAGGCCTTTGACTGCGTGCCACACACGCACCTGATTCGACGCCTGGAGGAGTACAGGTTTCCCGCCTCTCTGTGCCGACTGATCCGAAGCTATCTTAGCGGAAGATCGTTCGTCGTACGGGTTGGCGGAGACCTTTCTCCACCAGAATCTACCAGATGCGGTGTCCCTCAAGGGTCTGTATTGGGACCAATACTGTTTGTCGTTTATACGGCACCGGTAGTGGCACTCAAGCATCCAGGCACGATGGTAGCAGCCTATGCGGACGACATTGGCATCTATTCTTCCAGTTTCGACGCAGGAACGGCACTTACCCGAGTACAGAAAGCCTCAGCCACCATCGTTCGAGAACTCGAGGACAACGGTATCCGGGTAAACCCAGCGAAGACAGATGCCATTGTCTTATCCTTTCAGAAAGGCAAGAAGAGACGGCTACCGAGAGACTTCTCCATCAGTGGGGTAACCCAACCGCTCTCCCCTAGGATCGTCTACCTCGGCGTCACGCTAGATAGGCACCTGACCTTCACTAGCCACGTCAGGAGGAGGATCCTGCAGACAAGGAAGAAGACATATAGGCTATACCATCTGCTGACATCACCGCAGCTCTCTCTACGGCTCAAGCTGCAGATTTACAAGGCCATTATTAGACCGACGATGCTCCACGGTGCCCCTCTCCTCAGACACCTGTTCAAGACAACCCTACAACGACTGCAGAGCTACCAGAACTCTGTCCTTCGGCGAGTGGTAAGAGGAACCTGTCTCCAGAGGGCAAAGAACTCGGTCATTCACGAAGAGCTTCAGCTCCCGTCAGTGCCCGAGTTCATAGGCCGGAGGCACATCAAGTTCTTTGATGGGCTGAAGGCCTGTGCCAACCCACTCTTCAAAGATATCTCCCCACCACCCAGGCCCGGGAGGTGGCAGCGCAAGGTCCCCTTGGTGGATGTACTCGCCGAGGGAAGGGGTCTGGACACTGCAGTCCATATCCGTAACATTAGATTGTAGTTTTTAGTTCTTAGTTCTTAGTTTTAGTTTGTAGTTTTAAGTTTTAACTGTAACTAGATGAGCAGTCCCTCCCTGTTCAAACAGAAACTGTAAGGCTCCAGGCCGCTAAAGAGAAAAATGCACACAGCAGACCCTATCTCTCATACCTTAAAATACCTACGGGTAAAGAAAGGCTCTGAAATTTGTATATGTATATTGTAAATGTATCAATAAAAATTCCTGGGGGGTGAGAAAAAAAAAAAAAAAAAAAAAAAAAAAAAAAAAAAAAAAAAAAAAAAAAAAAAAAAAAAAAAAAAAAAAAAAAAACGCGGCGCAACGTACACTAGCGCACCTAGCGAAAATGACTGAAACTACAACCGAAGCCGCTGCTCCAACAACCCCGGCGACACCCAAGGCGAAGAAGGGTAAAGGCGCTGCATCAACCGGCGCCAAGAAGCCAAAGACGGCACCTTCTCATCCGCCCGTTTCCCAGATGGTGACGGCTGCGATTAAGTCACTCAAGGAGAGAGGCGGGTCTTCGACCCAGGCGATCAAGAAATACATCAGTTCGACCTACAAGATCGATGCGGAGAAGAAGTCTCACTTCATCAAAAAGTACCTAGTATCTGCCGTTGCTTCCGGATCTCTCGTCCAGACCAAAGGCAAAGGCGCATCAGGATCTTTTAAACTCGCCGGTGCAGGAGGTGAAGGAAAGAAAGTAGCCACCACTAAGAAGGCCCCCGCCAAGCCGTCCGTTGCTAGCAAATCCAAGTCCCCTAAGGCCAAACCTGCAACAACGAAGAAGGCCGCTGCAGCATCTAAGGCTAAGAAGACCAAGAAACCTCCAACTGCCGCAAAGACTCCCAAGCCCAAGGTAGCCAAGGCGAAACCCGCTACGACACCCAAGGCGAAGAAGGCTCCAGCGAAAAAGGCACCAGCCAAGAAGCCAGCGGCTAAGAAGGCTTCACCGAAGAAGAAGTAGGTCGTTTTCCCTAACCGCTGCCTCCTCAAGGAGTGGTGATTTTAAACGGCTCTTTTCAGAGCCACTAAATGTGATACCTTTCTGTCGACACATGCTAACGCAACCTTTTTTGTGTCCCACGTCCTCACCGTTTTATCTATTCTGGTAATTTAATGTTAGCTACTCATTCATTACAAAAGTATATATCAATCAGGACTAAACTTAATAAATCTGTATTTCCAAACAATTGAGAAATGTGTAGGTTCGTATTTCATATATATATTAGCGGCTTAGATGTAATAGTATCGCGGCACTTTGATGTAGACATCAAAGTGCCGCTATACTACAATGTAGCGGCACTTGGATGGATGTCGATTATATGACTATAACTATCTAAAACCTTATACCAAATATGAATAAGGTACTGAGCGTGAGGGATTAATCATCATACCATTGTCATTAATCAACATAATTAACGAATCGAAGAGGGAAATTAAATACAATATATATATATATATATATATATATATATATATATATATATATATATATATATATATATATATATATATATGGCTTCCGATATCTGTACAGTTATGTAAACACTTCTTTTATCCCTTATTTTTTAGTTGTTTTTTTTGTTTGTTTGTTTGTTTTTGTTTATTGTAATATACATTTTGGCCAGATGTAATGTATAATTTTATGTACAATATTGTTATTCTCAAGGGACGTAGTCCCAGAATAAAGTTGATTCTTCTATCTCTATATATATATATATATATATATAAACAAAAAAAAGGAAGGTAGCCTTTGAAGGGCATCCATCATTGATCCTCTTTATATATCCTATAACATATAATTGTTTCTCATAAAATATATCCTGTTTTATTACTAATGAAAGAATTATACATAATAATTTTATTATACTATATAAAGAGTTACACGATTCTAAAACAAATTTTACTTAGTTTGCATGCAATTACTAAATCTTACCTATAACAACGATCATTTAACAATCAGTTATTCGTTGAAAAATCAAAACACTTCGGTAACCAATACAATAAAGTATTAACGTATGATGTTTCAGTTATTTATATATAAACATCATACGTTATTTTATATATATAAAATCGCAATGAAAAATAGAGTCAATCTCTGTATTACAATCATTATAACATTTGTATAAGATTACACGAGATATGCATAATTCTATAAAAAAAACCCACAAGTAGAAAATCCTTCATTATGTCGTTATCAGGTAAAAGGAATACAATACTTTGAAACTCTTGATTATTTATTAAAATGATTACTCAAAGGAAAATAGAAAAATGAGTAATTCGAGTAGTTCGGCAGGCAATGTTCAAAACATCGTTAGCGAGGTACGTCATGAATTGTGGGTTTTTTTTTTTTTTTGCCTAATCACCGTATTTTCCGTAGTCAGTAAAATCCGTCTGTTGGGGTTCTCCTCTCTTTTCTCAGGTGATTTGTCATATTTTATAACAAACGGCTGTGTTCGAAGCTTTGAGATATTCAGCACGTTCGGAGAAGTGCTATATCTATAAAGAAATATAGATATAAAATAATGATAGATATTTCTTGGCAAGCTATAACCGCCAGAATAATACTTTCCCTTTGCTAAAAAAAAAGTCAGTTATATACATTTTATTTCGATATCATATGGTGTACAGTTCATCCCCTTTATCACTACATTATAAATATTAAAACTAACTTAACTAACTTAGAGATCATAATTGACAAAAAATCAAGCAACTAAAATATCAATTATTGATACTGATTCAGAATGTAAAATTTTCAACATAACATATAAACAATAACAATAAATAAACATGATGATACATTACCATATGATGTTTCAATTATTTATATATCATATGATTTAATTTTAAAATCACAATTAAAAATGGAGTCTATATTTATTATTGTCCCATGAGTATTACAATCATTATTACACTTCTGTAAGATTATTTGAGATATGTGGAATTCCACAAAAACCCCACAAGTAGAAGATCCTTCATTATGTCATCATCAGGTAAAAGGAATAAAATACGTTGAAACTCTTGATTATTTATTAAAATTATTACTCAAAGGAAAATAGAAAAATGAGTAATTCGAGTAGTTCGGCAGGCAATGTTCAAAACATCGTTAGCGAGGTACGTCATGAATTGTGGGTTTTTTTTTTTTTTTTGCCTAATCACCGTATTTTCCGTAGTCGGTAAAATCCGTCTGTTGGGGTTCTCCTCTCTTTTCTCAGGTGATTTGTCATATTTTATAACAAACGTCTGTGTTCGAAGCTTTGAGATATTCAGCACGTTCGGAGAAGTGCTATATCTATAAAGAAATATAGATATAAAATAATGATAGATATTTCTTGGCAAGCTATAACCGCCAGAATAATAATTTCCCTTTGCTAAAAAAAAAGTCAGTTATATACATTTTATTTCGATATCATATGGTGTACAGTTCATCTCCTTTATCACTACATTATAAATATTAAAACTAACTTAACTAACTTAGAGATCATAATTGACAAAAAATCAAGCAAATAAAATATCAATTATTGATATTGATTCAGAATGTAAAATTTTCAACATAACATATAAACAATAACAATAAATAAACATGATGATACATTACCATATGATGTTTCAATTATTTATATATCATACGATTTAATTTTAAAATCACAATTAAAAATTATTATTGTCTCATGAGTATTACAATCATTATTACACTTCTGTAAGATTATTTGAGATATGTGGAATTCCACAAAAACCCCACAAGTAGAAGATCCTTCATTATGTCATCATCAGGTAAAAGGAATAAAATACGTTGAAACTCTTGATTATTTATTAAAATTATTACTCAAAGGAAAATAGAAAAATGAGTAATTCGAGTAGTTCGGCAGGCAATGTTCAAAACATCGTTAGCGAGGTACGTCATGAATTGTGGGTTTTTTTTTGCCTAATCACCGTATTTTCCGTAGTCGGTAAAATCCGTCTGTTGGGGTTCTCCTCTCTCTTTTCTCAGGTGATTTGTCATATTTTATAACATGTTCGGAGAAGTGCTATATCTATAAAGAAATATAGATATAAAATAATGATAGATATTTCTTGGCAAGCTATAACCGCCAGAATAATACTTCCCCTTTGCTAAAAAAAAAAAAAAAAAAAAAGGTCAGTTATATACATTTATATATATAGTTTTACAGAGAAATCAGTTATATTTCAAGTTATAATGCTTTTTGAGTTACTTATATGAATGTATATATTTAATGACATATCCCCATTTTTCGTCAACTTCCTTAATTAACATTCATGACGGTTGTTTTACAAATAATAAAATTATTATTATGTGATTTCCAATTTTCAATCGATTCAGTAGAATGGAATAATGCGGCCATATAAAGGTTGATTATATTAAACAACATCATGTGTATATCCGAGGTTCAGGAAGGGCGGCTTTTCTCTGTCGGCGGCACTTTGATGAAGTAAACAATGATCTCTGTCGGACCTTATATTCCCATCACTTACGGATCTTGGATGGAAGTGGCTTAAGATTTTAGTTCATTAAAATAAATTAAAATGTTACGAGAAAGTATTTGAGGAGAATAAAATATGGAAACGGAAGGAGAGAGAGAGAGAGTGAGTGTGTGTGTGAGTGAGCGAGAGAGAAAAATAAGAAGAAATAAGTAAATAAAAAGTTGGATGTTAAAGACTGGAGTGACGGAATCGTCCGCTAGGTGGCAGCCTGAGTTAGATGCTCTGGGTGGGGTGGGGGACGGCGACAAAACGTGATTGGTTCGCGCATTGCGGCAAATGGGTATATAAGGCAGTAAGGGGGTATATGTTGTGAACAGTTATTATTCGTCAACGACAGAGAACACTTATAGCAGAAGGATGTCTGGACGTGGCAAAGGTGGCAAAGCCAAGGGAAAGGCAAAGACCCGATCATCTAGGGCAGGACTCCAGTTCCCCGTCGGTCGTATCCACCGTCTCCTCAGGAAAGGTAACTACGCCGAGAGGGTGGGAGCAGGAGCTCCGGTGTACCTCGCAGCAGTCATGGAATACCTGGCTGCCGAAGTTCTCGAGTTGGCCGGCAACGCAGCTCGTGATAACAAGAAGACTAGGATCATCCCGCGTCATCTCCAGCTCGCCATAAGGAACGACGAGGAGTTGAACAAGCTGTTGTCGGGAGTCACCATCGCTCAAGGCGGAGTACTTCCCAACATCCAGGCCGTTCTGCTGCCGAAGAAGACAGAGAAGAGCTCATAAGCCTAATGGCTGGCAAGCCTCTCGACCTTCTCTTTTCAACGGCCCTTTTCAGGGCCACAAATCGTTTGTTAACTTTCAACGATCTTAAAACCTCTGAAACATCTACCTATCAGATGACGAAGAGACTCGAGCTAAAAAAGAAAAGAAAAGAAAGATAGAGAGTGATGAACACTATTTTATTTTTTTCTGAGGGAGGGTGGTATGAGGAGAGTGGTACGCCGTAGGTCTGACTGTCTCCGGATATGGGTTAAGTTGTTATAACAGAATCAGAAATTATCAAGTATAAACACATGCACAAATCAATGTTTGTAAATGGCATTACATAATATTATTAAGGAAAACAACCACTTGATAATAAATGCTGAAATTTGTCATTGAGTTCAATGGATGGATCACAGAATTAATATAAATAGGTTTATATTAACATTTACACAAACACATACACGCTGGAGCCGGAGCTTCCCCCTACCACACCCGCACACTCTCTCTCACTTCTATGGAGAGGGGAAGTGACGCCGAAACGGCCCACCAGAGCGCATACCAAACGCCCGGGTTTGGACCAATGGGATAGAGAGACCTACCTATATAAACACGGACTCAAGTTCTTTGATGGGCTGAAGGCCTGTGCCAACCCACTCTTCAAAGATATCTCCCCACCACCCAGGCTCGGGAGGTGGCAGCGCAAGGTCCGCTTGGTGGATGTACTCGCCGAGGGAAGGGGTCTGGACACTGCAGTCCATATCCGTAACATTAGTTTGTAGTTTTTAGTTCTTAGTTTTAGTTTTAGTTTGTAGTTTTAAGTTTTAACTGTAACTAGATGAGCAGTCCCTCCTTGTTAAAATAGAAAATGTAAGGCTCCATGCCGCTAAAGAGAAAAATGCATACAGCAGACACTATCCCTCATACCTTAAAATACCTACGGGTAAAAGAAGGCTCTGAAATGTGTATATACTGCTTCATATGTATATAGTAAATGTATTAATAAAAATTCCTGGGGGGTGAGAAAAAAAAAAAAAAAAAAATGAAGAACAGGCAAACAAACAAAAGCGACTTCAGCAGCAGCAGCAGAAGAAGAAGGACCTCCTCATCAGCTCTCTACTGCAACTGAAGACTTACGGTTGTTTAGCTTGCGCCCTTTAAAGCTGTCAAGGCCAAACTTATCACTTGGGCCAAACCTTGACAGAAACTCGATTGAGTAAGGGCAGCGTCGCGCTGACAAGCCGAGCGTTTTTCCACGCATCATGGCAACATCCGCGCAGCCCCCGGAGGAGCAGATGGTGTACGATAACATTGAAGACGATGACACCAGAGGTGCCAAGAGGGCACATGAGAATGAGGGCTACACACAAGTAACCAAGAAGCACTCCTTCAGGTTCAGGCCCTCAGAACAAACCCAGGCCATCCCAGTTACCAACCGTTTCAGCCGACTGGCTGAAGAAAAACCTAAGCTCCCCCCGCCTATCGTAATATCGCCACCGTTGGCGATGAAAGATCTACAACAAACGCTGCTCACTCGAGGAATCTCGAAATTCTCGATAAATTCCTCTTCGAAAGAAACCAGGCTCTATCTGGAGTCCGAAAAAGACCACTTTGAAGCAACATTAATGCTGCGCGATGATCATCGCGTGCAGTTCCATAGTTTCGCACCTCGGGGAACCAGGAGGTCAAAAAAATATGTACTGTATGGGTTCGACCTTGACTACCCTGTCGAAAACGTCACCGAAGAACTCAAGGAGAGACTCCATGGCTTCAAAATGGCGAGAAGGTTGACAAGGAGACTGGGCACCGAGCCGCCACGCCCAAATGATATAAATTATAACTGAGGACACGGTGCGCCTATCCCACATCAGGAAACTAAAAGACAACAATAGAGTTCGCTTCAAGAGTAAGCGAATTTAAAGAAGCTGCAGCTCCAGTGCAGTGTCGCAACTGTCAGGAGTATGGACACACAATGAAGTATTGTGGCCGAACCGTCGCTTGCCCCTGGTGTGGAGGGACACACCAACTTGAGCATTGCCCTGCACGAACCCAAGAGCCTCCTAAGTGTAAACATTGCAATGGAGGCCACGCATCATCCAGCAGAGAATACCCCGTGAGACTTCAGATGATAAAGAAGAGAACAGAAGTCTCTACTGTTGCCCAAAATAGACCAGCGCCTACAAACAGGTCGAGTAGACGTGTACAGACCGGCCTACAATATTCCACGGCCTGGCCAGGCTACAAGCCCACACAATCCACCAGATGAACCAGAATAGAGCTACGGCGCTGATCTCCTTAGACTGCAGCCAGGCCTTTGACTGCGTGTCCCACACGCATCTACTCCGCCGCCTGGAAGAGTTCAGGTTTCCTGCCACTCTATGCTGAATGATCCGAAGCTACCTCAGCGGAAGATCTCTCGTCGTACGAGTTGGCACAGACTGCTCAAACCCAGTCGATACCACCTGTGGAGTACCTCAAGGGTCTGTGCTAGGGCCAATACTGTTCGTCGTCTTCACGGCACCAGTAGTGGCACTCAAGCATACAGGAGCGATGGTAGCAGCGTACGCGGACGACATCGGCATCTACGCATCCAGCCTCAATGCGAAGACTGCGCTCACTCGGGCACAGAAAGCCTCAGCCATCATCATAGAAGAACTAGAAGCAATCGGTATCAGAGTGAACCCCGCGAAAACTGATGCCATAGTCATGTCGTTCCAGAAGGGAAAGAAGCCACTGCCCAACAACTTCACCGTCGGAGGAGTTGATCAGAAAATCTCCACTTCAATCGTCTACCTCGGCGTCACAATGGATAGGCATTTAACCTTTTCCAGTCACGTCAGGCAGAGGATCAAGCTGGCACGGCAAAAATCCCATCGCCTCTACCATCTACTGAATTCGCCGCAGCTCTCACTGAGACTCAAACTGCAAATCTATAAGGCCATTATAAGACCCACGATGCTTCATGGGGCCCCTCTCCTGCGCTACCTATACAACTCAACACTCAAGAGACTACAGGGCTTCCAGAGTTCTATCCTTCGACGAATTGTCCGGAGCACCACCCTGCAAAGGGCTAAGAATAAAAGTATACGAGAGGAGCTCCAGCTCCCCTCGGTACCTGAGTTCATAAGCCGGAGGCACATCAAATTCTTTGATGGGCTGAAGGCCTGTGCCAACCCACTATTTAATGTTATTTCACCACCAACCAGACCAGGAAGGTGGCAGGGTAAACTCCCTTTGGTGGACATATTCGCCGAAGGATGTGGTCTGGACCCTTGAGTCCAGATCCAAATGTATATAGTGTAAATATTTGTATTGTATATATTTGTAAATAAATAAAATAAACCTGCTGAGCTGTCCCTCCCTGCTCAATATTAAAATTAAGGCCACTGGCCACAAGTGTATAAAGTGCCTTCAGCACACTTAACCAAATTACACCTTAAAATACCTTCGGGTAAAAAAAAGGTAAGCATACTCTGAGTATATGTATACTTCTGTGTATACATATACAGTAAATTGTATGGTTTCCTTATGGAGGGTAAGAAAAAAAAAAAAAAAAAAAAAAAATGAAGAACAGGCACACCAGATAGCAAAGCATCTTAAGGGTAGCTTCACTGTCAAGGCCCATAATTATCTCTTGGGATAAAACCTTGACAGCTACCCCTATTGGGTATTGAAATTGAGCGTTCAACAGGCTCCCTTCCGGTACCAGGATCTTCACCGGGGGCCGTTGGGAAGCTGAAGAATATGGACAGTGATTGGACATTACCAAAGAAAGTGTGTCGGGTTGCGAATTCAACACCTAACTTTTCCGTAAGTACGACAAAATACTTTCTCGATTTTAAGTAGTAGTGTTGATGAAAAAGTGAAAGTGCACCCGAGAATACTCAAAGTGCTCCGACATCTCAAAACAAAGACGTGAAAAGAAAAAATTCTCCCCCCATAGTGGTCAGTGGCGTTTCAGGCACGGCACAAGCAGTCGAGGACCTAAAGGCCGCTGGATTCCACTCTTTTGAAGTCCAAAAAATCAGGGATGGAGTTAAGATCTTTCCAAGAACTGTGGAGGTCCATTCTGGCATTAAAGAGTATCTAGGCCGGGCAGGAAGCCAATTTTATACTTACGCAACGGAAAATAGAACGCCTGTCCAGAAGTTTGTGATCTATGGTCTGGATGTAGACTACAGTATAGATGAGGTCAAGTTATGTCTGCACCAGCAACTAAGCAGTGCTTGACGTCCGCCGACTACGGAAGAGTGACAAGGATGGAAGGAAGACGGATCGTTCTATTATCTTGATAACAACAAGCATCGATATTAACATCAAAGACTTATTAGCGATACAACACATCAACAGAATACGTTTTACCGCTAAGCCTTATAATGGACAAAGAGACATCGTCCAATGTCACAGATGTCAGCAGTTCGGTCACACGAAAAATCATTGTGGAAGAACAGTGCTTGGTGTTCGTTGTGCCGGCCCTCACCTCATTGAACACTGGCCCAGGACGACAACACCAGTTAAGTGCGCTAACTTGCAGTGAGGAACATGTTGCATCGTTCTGTGGATGCAAGGTGCGGCAAGTGTTCTAGGAAAAGTTTCAACAACTAAGGGAAAGAATTGGACTGAAGAAGCCCACCGTAGCATCAACTAGGACTAAACAAACAACACAGGAACATCAGCGACCGATGAAGAATCCTAACCCACCACCCAATCCATCAACAAGCCAACCAACAACAGACCGGACTCACACCTCTTCCCGCCGAACCCAACAATCCAACGAACCTACATACGCAAACATAGCTCGCCAAGATGTCATCCCTCCATGGGTAGAAAACATCATGACGAGCATAAAATCATTGACAGACTCTACAAACAAACTTCTTGACTTATTCGCGGAAATGATGACAAAATGAACACACCACTGACAGTAGTAAATTTCAACACAGATGGACTGATGCCCAAGATAACGGAGATATATGCCTTGATAGCACAGACCCAGCCCACCGTAGTAGTCCTGACAGATA